CACAAGCTTCACACAAAAGTGGATTTAAACAAATATACATCAAACTAAAGGTTTGGAACTCTCGACAGATGAAACAGTACAAGAAGGGAATCGACGATCCAAACCGGTAGATACGTAGCTTGAGTTGTCGACAATGATATACTGAAATTTGAGAAAGATCGGAGAATGATCCACCGTTGAATCTTACAAACAACCTCTCTTCCTACCCTTTTCTCTTCTCCCCTGTTTTGCTTCTCTGTTTTCTTCTGTTGGTTTTCAGCTTGAATGTGTTTGTGTATGTATAACCGCCTAAACACACCTCCACTTATGCACAATTATGTTTTGCTTTGTTTTGGGCTTTATTTGATTGTCTTGGGCTTTTATCAAAGCCCCAAGCCCACATTAAAGTGGACTTAACCCAACATTACCAAAGCTGCTAAGGTAGTCTTTTATCAGGAAAATGCCAAGAAGTTTTGTCCTGTAGTCTTACATTTGTGCAACCAATTCGCTTTATTCTTTTTGAACGCCATGACAAACCAAAGCTTCTAAGGTAGTCTTTTATCATGAAAATTCACTTTCGTGTTGTCTTTAATGTGCATTGATTGATTTGATGGGATGGTGTTTTCATTATGCAGCATCTTGACGGGTTGGGCCAAGCATAGCAAGGTGATGGGTGATAGTGCACTTAAGTGTGCTATTGAAGCTCAGCTAACCAGCATAGGTGCAGCTTTTCAGATCGCCAAGTGTAATATTGGAAGTTTTATAACAACAGGGGCTGTGGTCGCTGCCTGATTACGGGAATCGGGCACGCTAAAGGTACTCGTTCATCAGGATGACAGAACTAACCCAGAAGGCCCAAGGTTTGGTCCTATTCCGAATTTGCAACCGCTCCCATTATAGTTGGTTGGATATCATGTGGACATGGATTTTGACAGGCCTATCTATTGTAAATTATGTTTTTATATTCTGAAATGGCTCTCTGTGGATGTGGGTCCATTTGGGTGCCCATACGCGTGTGAATGAATGAGTGTGCTTATTTTGGGGTGTGAGATTGTGCATGCCATATTCCCGATAATGCAGTTCATCCTACAAGTTTCAAGTTAGATCTTTGGTATCTTTCTCATTGGCCCTTGTTATAAGTCCACTGGTTTGTTAAAAAGGTTAGGAGTTTCATGCAAACCTTCTGCTTTATTAGCGTAAACTTTGATTTATCTATTTTGCTATCAATGGGCCAGTATTTTATGCTGAACTTTTCTTTTTCCAACAGAGGGCTAACTGTTAATAGTCAAGAGATTGCAGCATTTTGGGATTTCCCCCCTTCACATGCAAATGATCCTAAAATCTAAACTGGACTAATCTGAATCTTAGCCAAAGGTCCAGGGGATAGTCTCGTTGAAAATTTTGTAAGAAACTGTACTGAAAATGAAGGTTTATTGGGTAAACCACATAAGAAGCCGAGCTCCTGATTTCCGTACGGTGTGATTCTTTCTTTTCCATGTAATAAGACAATTCCTTCTTGCGCTTTCTCTCGCCTTTTCTTCGCTGTTTAAGCATCCCCATGTGCAATATGGGAGGAAATGCAGATTTCATTTAGAATGCGTCCTAGGAAAATTAAGATGTGGAGGAAAATGGATGAGGTTGCAACCAATACAAATGAGAAAACGATATGGGTTGTACTTAACAATTACTATTACGTATTCAACCTAAAAGATTGATGGCGCCTTTTGATACTGGCAATGCCTGCCGCGTGCCTGTTTCAGACCTGAGTGAAAACTTTATGGATTAAGAGATACATAGGTGTAGCGGCAAAAAGTTTGCTGAATTAAGCGATAACTCCCCCTTCTTCTCTCTGTTGTCTCAATGGGACAAATGTAGAATGTTGATAGACGGCAAGATGAGCTGCACTTTAACTCACCATTAAACCTGAATCCTTCCCCTGCCTCCTACTATTTGTTACTTTTATCCTTGAATGGCAATAGATATTCATAAATAACATAAAATTCAGATGCAATCATTTTAGTACACTTGTTGTCAATTACCCTAGATTTTGAACTGAGTTATGTAAAAGCTTAATTTTTCAAGGGAAGCATTTATATGTGAAAAGTTAGCTTCAACATGGATCTTCACGTGCAGATCAGATAATGTTTTCATCAAAAGGTTTATTATGTATATGGTTTTCATAAATGGATGGGAACAGACTTAAATTAAGGACATTTAAGTGATGTTATACTGTGTTGAACTACTCCATTTAGTATTCAATTCAAGTTGTTGGAGTGGGACACACTTGCGTGTTTAAATTTTGTATATTTCATTAAATGTCCGTCTCTTTTTCCTTGCAGTGGGTCCCTTACCATGAGATTGTTTGGTGATCTAATCGTAAATGGTTTGTGTGTACCAATACTGGTTTTGGCTTGAATGTGCACAGATCACATTAGAGCCCTTTAAAGTGATATTATAGCCTGTGAAGTGGTCATATCCTGCATAAAGTGTCACTGAATTATCAACCATCTTCTAGGTCATAAATGAGTTTTAAGAAATAATAAACGAGGTAAGTATAATAATTAAAAAGACAGTCCATTTAATGCCATGTGATTCTGGAGCTTGTAACTGGTAATTTTATTTTTAAAACACGTTGAACAAATAATTTGGAGACCTTAGCAAATTGCAATGGAATCATTTTGTCGGCAGCCTTTAATTAAGCTTACGAAAAGTCGCATAGACAGAAATGAAGATGGCATAAAGAGTTGGAAATGGCAGGAACTAAGGTGGTTGAGAGTTGGAATTTAATGCACCGCCATGATTGTACCTCTTCTGGGCCAAAATGAAATTTGAAGGTCTTGGGCTTTACCTCAAATAGAGAAAGAGGGTTTCTTTTCCAACTGCAAGCATATATTAGCCATCTCTCATTGTTTCCCTATATATATTCTGGTTCATTGATACATTGCTACGTACAAGATGGAGAGGGTTTTTAAAAATGGTGGAGCGTTTGTTATGATTTTGCTTATAGTTTTATTCGTCGCACAAATTGTTGATGGGCAGAGAATCGAGGAAGAAACCATTGGTGGAGGCGGTCTAGGTAGTGGTGTTGGAGGAGGTGGAGGTTTTGGAGGTGGTGCTGGTGGAGGATTTGGAGTAGGAGGCGGTGGTGGTTTTGGAGGAGGTGGTGGTGGTGGTTTCGGTGGAGGGGCAGGTGGTGGTATTGGTGGTGGTGCTGGGGGTGGCAAAGGAGGTGGTATTGGTGGAGGCGTAGGAGGTGGAAAAGGTGGTGGTTTTGGAGGAGGGACGGGTGGTGGTATTGGTGGAGGTGTAGGAGGCGGAAAAGGTGGTGGTTTTGGTGGTGGTGCTGGGGGTGGGAGTGGCAAAGGAGGTGGTATTGGTGGAGGCGTAGGAGGCGGAAAAGGTGGTGGTTTTGGAGG